AAAGGACACGGCAAGCGACTCATCCAAACCCCTTATCTCTTACTCTGGGTCGTGTCCTTCTTCACCACCTTCTGTGATCTCCAGTATTGCCGCTTTGGAGAATCAAATGAAAATGATTGATTCTGTCATGAACTGTCAGCAGCTGACCAGTTTAAAATCCATAGAAAATGGATCAGGGGAAAGTGACCATCTGAGCAATGACTCCTCGTCGGCCGTTGGCGATCTCGAAAGCCAGAGTGCAGGCAGCCCTGCCATGTCAGAGTCTTCTTCCTCCATGCAAGCTTTGTCCCCTGTAAACAGCAATAGCGAAAGTTTCAGATCCAAGTCCCCAGGTCTCAGTAACCAGGAAGAACCACAAGAAATACAATTAAAGACAGAAAAACCAGACAGTCCGCCACCTGCAACTGAAAACGGAGGCGCATTAGATTTGACATCCACCAACCCGGGGAGACCGGTCATCAAAGAGGAAGCTCCTTTTAGCCTGCTGTTCCTGAACAGAGAACGTGGTAAGTTTAAAAGTACTGTTTGTAATATCTGTGGCAAGCCTTTTGCTTGTAAGAGTGCATTGGAAATTCACTACCGCAGCCATACTAAAGAACGTCCATTTGTTTGTACAGTCTGCAGTCGTGGGTGTTCCACTATGGGTAATTTAAAACAGCACTTACTGACGCACAAATTAAAAGAGCTGCCTTCTCAGTTATTTGAACCCAACTTTACTCTAGGTCCCAGCCAAAGTACTCCTAGCCTGGTCACCAGTACAGCGCCTACCATGATCAAAATGGAAGTGAATGGTCACAGCAAGCCGATCTCTTTGGGTGAGGTTCCCTCGCTTCCAGCTGGAATCCAGGTTCCTGCTGCACCACAGACAGTGATGAGTCCAGGGATCACCCCTATGCTGGCACCCCCCCCTCGCCGGACTCCCAAGCAGCACAACTGTCAGTCGTGTGGGAAGACCTTCTCCTCAGCAAGTGCACTGCAGATACACGAGCGCACCCATACCGGTGAAAAACCGTTTGGTTGCACAATCTGTGGTAGAGCTTTTACCACAAAGGGGAATCTTAAGGTAAGAGGCCAAAAAAAAAAACCCCAAAAAACCAAACCCAAAACCCTGTAAAAGCTCGGGGTGGGGGTGGGTTAAGGCACTGTACTTGAACCTAGCAGCTTTGAGAGCTGTTTGTCCCAAAGACAGGAGCTTCAAGGAAAGGTTTGCTGGATGGTGGTGGTGGTGGTGGTGGCAGTTATGTTTCCGCTGTGTGGGAGACATGGATGGAAAAGCCACTGTGAAAGGGTGCAAACTTTAGAAGAGTTTCTGAGCGTAGGTGCACGCACGTTGTACTTGGCCTGACAGACGCGATGGCACGTGCGGTCGGTCGGCTGATGGACACGTTCTGGCTATTCTTGCAGACTGGCATTGCAAAAAAAAAAACCAAAACCAAACCTCAAAAAAACTTCACTATGAACCAGAAAGGCAGAGCTGGCTCAGCTCCTCGGATGCCTCTCTCAAATTGCCATTTTCTCTTCTGCTTTGCAGCCATCACAAAGTAGAAAGCTGCTTCCTCCTGATTTACAGCCGGTTACTCCAGGAGTGACACCTCTTATTCCCGCAGTCTGGTTCACCATGGGGACGCAGCCTGGGGAACACATTTTTTTAAAATGTCCTTTTTTAAAATATTATATTTAGCAAAATAATCGATGCCTCTGACATGAGATGAAATATTATGAAAATAGGCAAAGGGGAGGAGCAGAAAAAATGTTCACCTCCAAGCACAAGTAGTGCATTTAGTTATCTTCTGCGTGTGAGGACTTCCAGCTTGCACGGGAAGTTGTCTAACCTAAGAGGATACATGCTCTTTATTCTTGCGGCACACTGAAAAATTACTATGGAGTTGAGTTTTCTTTGTATAGGTTGACTGGGCTTTAGAACTGTGTCTTAACTGGAATAAATTAGATTTCAATGTGAATTCAAAGGCTTTTTTTTTTTTTTACATTAAGTAGCAGAAGTTCAGGCTGACCACCTCACCAGAAGGTGCTAATTTGAGGGTGCTTCTTGTCCCCGTTTGCTCCACAGGTTCACATGGGAACTCACATGTGGAATAATGCCCCTGCACGCCGCGGTCGCCGCCTCTCCGTGGAAAACCCAATGGCTCTGCTGGGTGGTGATGCCCTCAAGTTCTCCGAGATGTTCCAGAAAGATTTGGCAGCTCGGGCCATGAACGTTGACCCTAATTTTTGGAACCAATACGCTGCAGCTATCACTAATGGACTTGCTATGAAGAACAATGAGATTTCTGTCATACAGAACGGAGGCATTCCCCAGCTCCCAGTAAGTCTTGGCGGAGGTGCCATCCCACCTCTAAGCAACCTTACCGGTGGCATGGACAAAGCTCGCACAGGCAGCAGCCCACCCATTGTCGGTCTGGACAAAGCAAGTTCTGAAACGGGAGCCAGTCGTCCATTCACCAGATTTATTGAGGATAATAAAGAGATTGGCATAAATTAA